AATGTTTCGGTCCATTAAGTCGCCGCAGCATCAGAAGTGTGAAGGGGCTAGAAATTCTTACTGAAAGGGAATGTTTCGGTCCATTAAGTCGCCTCAATACCACAACTGTGAAGGGGCTAGAAATTCTTACTGAAAAGGAATGTTTCGGTCCATAAAGTCGCTTGGGCGCACCATAATTGTAATTTTAGATGATGTGTGTGTTTATGTAAAAAGTAGGGGTATGAAAGTAAGGGAATAAAAAGGAATGTGAATAAGTTAAATCGGAATAAAAACCTCAACAGGAATGTTTCGGTCCATCAAGTCGCATACATAAAACTGGACTTCGTCAACACTACGACAGTTATGCTGATTTTTGTTAAAAGCTGTTCAGTTTTGTTTTGCATTATATGCATATTTTCCCTGTGTACACACTTCTGCCGTGTGGTTGTTTCCTTCTTTCACGTTGCTGATCCTACGCAGACGCTTTACGGGGCGATGGATTTTTTTCTCTCGCTGTGCATGGATTTTGGTAGATAGTTTAGTAAAACAGCTTTTTTTTTCAGATTATTACTCAGAATTGTTACAACGGTGTGTGCATTAACGTGCTCATAACTTGAGAGACGTGCTGCATGGACATCGTTTGGAGATTGAACATCATCATCATCAGCACTTGTTACCACAAATCTTCGGTGAATTTTATTCATTGTTGTTTTTGAACAGTTTATTGCTTCCTTCTGTCGTCTTTCTCTTTTCTTTTCCTTTTCCATTAAGCACTGCGATCGTCATACTGACAAGTCTGTGATTTAATTAGACCGAAACGTCTTATCTCACTCTTATCTCCTTCGTCTCATACTGTAATCTATCGCACCTTCGCCGTTTAGGTTCCCAGAGTCAACCTGGTTGCTACCATCGGCTTATTTGTTGTTGACCTGAACAGTTTACTAACCTAACTTGAATACTTGAGCAGCTGTATGTCATCGACGTTCGTTGTTGTGCTCTTCTGTCCGCGCGGCACCGTACACGCGTACCATGGGGTCCCTTCACTAGTGGCCTCTCCAGTGTTCGCTTGACCGTACATGGGTATTCCGTTACTCGCTTCGTCTATCTCTTATCTGTCATTTATGCCACATGGCCACTAGCCCATCTCTTCTTGCTGACGTACATTGCTTCAGTAATGTCTTTCACGCCAGATCTGGCTTGGAACACTTACTGACAACACAAACTTAAGCA